AGAATTGAAACCTTTTTATGCTTAATTTTAATAATGTATACTTGAATTTACTGAAGGATTAATGTAAACCTATTATTGCTTGGATTTTTCTTGAGACAGGGATTCAGATCTCCCAGGCTAGTGCCAGAGGAGAACCTTGAACTTGTGATCTTCCTGCCTCTACCTCCAGAGTAGCTGGTGCTGAGATTACATGTGTGTTTTGCTATGTCCAGTTTTATGTGGCATGTGGTGCTGCTATTGAACCCAGGCTTTTGTGCATGCCAGACAAGCACTCTAGCAAGTGGACTGTATCTCAGCCCATCAAATTGCTGGATTTTTTAAGATTGTAGTAAAATATATGTAACATTAAGTTTACATTTTAAACTTTTTTTTTTTTTTTTTTAGTTTTTCGAGACATGGTTTTTCTCTTTAAAAGCCCTAGCTGTCCTGGAACTAGCTGCTATAGACAAGACTGGCCTCGAACTCACAGAGATCCGTCTGCCTCTGCCTCCTCAGTGCTGGAATTAAAGGTGTTCGCCACTACCACCCAACTTAACATTTTTATTTTTTAAGAATTTATGTATATGAATTTTTTTTCTACACTGTATGTATGTGTGTGCCTGATGCTTGTGCTCCAGATCCTCTGGACCTCAAGTTACAAATAATTCTGAGCCACCATGTGAGTGCTGGAAACCAAACCCTGGTCCTCTGCAAAAGCAGCTAATGCTCTTAATTGTTGAGCCATTGCTCCAGTCCTATATCATTTTTAACATTTATAAAAGTCTAATGATATTAACTACATTGATAATTTTATTCAGTTACCCCTACTATTCATCTCTAGAACGTTTGTCATCTCAAAACTGTACCCCCAGAGCAGTAACCCTCCCTCCTATTTCCTCTGATGCTCACTTCTTGACGACCACTGTTCTTTCATTCTTTTGTTTATTTTTTGAAACAGGGTCTCACTGCATAGCCCTGGCTGGCCTGGAACTTACTGTGTAGACCAGCCTAGCCTTGAACTTAGAGATCCTCCTGCCTCTGCCTCCTATGTGCTTCTGATTTGACTGTTCTAGATACCACACAGTGGAACTGTGTATTTGTTCTGTGTGATTAGCCTGTTTCATAGTAATACAGTAACTTCAAAGTTTATCCTTGCTGCAGCATGATCAGGATTTCTTCCCAAGGTGAAGTTTATGGGTAGGTCACATTTTACTTCACTATTCACCTGTCAAGTAATATTGCTTGTCCACTGCTGCATAACTGAGTTTGTGCTTTTAGTTCTTTTGACTATACTAGAAGTGGATTTGTTAGATCATATTTCATTCATTTGAAGAACTGTGTCGTCATCTTACATTCCAACTTTTTGTTTTTGAGACAAAGTCCTGTTATGTAGTCCAGGTTAGCCTTGAACTTTCAATCTTCATCTCTAGGTTTCTGAGTGTTGAGGTTATAAGCATGTGCTGCCATGCCCAGCTTGATACTCCTACGTTTTAAATTTTTGTTAATGATTTTAGAGATTTTAACGTCAGTGCAATGACACTCTGGGTAAAAGCACTCCCTGTGTAAGCCTTGTGACCAAGATTCAATCCTTGGAACTCAAGAAAGAATTAGAGAAGCAAATCCCATAAAGTTCTCTAACTTTCCCATGTGCACACACACCATGCGAACTACATATGACAATATTAGTAATACATGCTTTTAACTATAGTTTTGTGGTGTGTGTGTGTGTGTGTGTGTGTGTGTGTGTGTGTGTGTTTGGAGGCCAGAGATCAATTTTGGGAATCTTCCTCTATTCCTGTGTCTCAGTTTCTGGGCCAAAGCCTGTCACTGAGCCATCATAACAATCACTTTCCCACTGAACCTTACTCCCAACTGTCGAGATTGTTGTCTAAACAGCCTACTATTCTAGGTTAAAAACCTAAGACAGGAATAAATCTTAAACTCTTGAAGAATTAGAGACTAAAACATAATTCAAATAGATGTGATGTGAGGACTGCTGACTGGGGCTTCTGCCACCCTGCTGATCATCGTGGTTGAGTTGGGTGATTGGCCACCTAGGCAGGTGTTTCCTCCCTCCCTCGTGGCTCCATGTGCTTCCCTCCTGAAACTACATGCTTGGCCCTGCGTGGTGGGCGACGACCTCCCCCATGAATAAAGGAAGATAGGTTCTCCTTCCCATGCTAGAACCTTCAGACAATTCCCAAATAGTTAAACTTATATTTTTATTTAAAATGCATATTTAAAGGCTGTAAAGTTTTATTTTTTATTGCATGAGTATATGTGATATATTGAGGGGGCACGTGCCACAACACCATGGAGATCAGAGGGCAACTTCGTGGAGTTGGTTCTCATCTACCTTTATGTGGATTCCAGGAATTGAACTCAGTTTACCAGGCTTGCATGGCAAATGCCTTTGCCTTCTCAGCCAAGTTTGCTGACCCTAAAATACTTACTTGTATTGGTCAGAAAGTATTGGAGAAATCTGAGGATATATTTTTAAAATATAAAGAAATGTCTCCTGTAACCTCTAGAGATATGTGTTAGCCTTTTCTTTGTATTTCAAAACTGTAACTATACAGTGTATAGTACTTGGTGACATAGCTGTTAAATCTCAAAGGTGCTTTTTGTGTTTTTGATTTGATTTTGAACTTGACTAAGCACATGGTTTGGCTATGTAAGATTTTCCTTAGTGTCTTTCTCTGTGATGTTTCCTTAGGAGTAGCTTGGTTTCTAGGTCACAGGATTGCATGAGAAAGGACAGCATGGCTCATCTTAAAGACAGAGTCCTACTTGACCAGTATTAGCACTGACTTTCATGCACTCAAGAAATCCCCCATAGATGTTCTTTATATGTTGAATATGAATTATATAGTTTTAGAACAGGAACCGAATTTTGAGAAATCAAGCGTCAGAAAGATAAAAGTGTATCACACTGACTAGAGAATGTAAATGTGAGCCTAAAGTTCAGACCTTGCTCAGGACGTTGTCCCTGCTCTACGCGAAGGTCTCTGGTGATATTGTGTCGTGGGGTGGTGTGCCTGCGGAGATGTCTGAGCAGTTTCTTTTATTGACTCTTAAAAAATACCAGCCTTGTAAAATAAAACTTCACCTAATTCAGCCACATGCAAACTCAGCTCATAAAATTAACCCTCATTTAGAAGGTAAACTTGATCTGGAAGAAAATTGCCAAGCCCTGAAGGCAGAGTTGCCAGTCTCAGAGTAATTGTACTGTTGGAATTCATGTGGCTTCAAGTGCTGGTGCCCCTGTGTTGTGGTCTCTGAGGGCAGAGTGAGTCAGTCTCTCAGTGCTCCCCCAGCATGCCTGATTTGTGTGTGTATGTGTGTGCGAGAGAGACAGACAGACAGGCAGGAAAACATCCCAGGCTGCTCTCAGAATCATTGTGTAGGTGAGGATGCCTTTAAATTTGTGATTCTGCCTCCATTCTATCATGTTGGGACTAAAAGGACTGAGCCTAGGGCTTTGTGTGTAGGAAAGCACTGTATCAACTTAGCTATAGTCCACAGCCTGGGAATCTTGAATTTAACAATTTTTAAATTAATATTTTTTTTAAAAAAAATTGTGGAAAGATGTGAATGTGCTTCGGAAGCTGGTCTGTCCTTTCTTCTACCATATGCAGGGCATAGGACAGCTTTGGAAGTTGGGTCCTATGGGTCTTGTGGATTGAGCTCAAGTCCTCAGGCTTGACAAGAGGTGACCAGTTTTCACCAATCATTGAACAGTTTTGTTGACCTTGAATCATATGTTTTCAATAAATTATATATCATAAAATTCTGAATGGTTAAGATGAATTCTGTGTGGTTTGTATTATAAAAGAAAAGATGCTTCTGAATTTTCTTAACAACAACCTGCTTAGGGGCATTTACATCACACATGGCTTCTGCTCCATTTGTTCTGTAAGAGGTGCAAACCTGACATTTTGGGGACATTTCTTCCTGCTCACTCCTCCTCTCTTCTCTTTCCTTCCTTCTTTATCTTCCCTGTTCCCCTTCTATGTCTCTGTGTTGACAATAATCTAACCCTGCTTATAGACCAAGGGTAACAGACGCCGATCTACATTTATGGCGAGTCATAAAGGACACTTTGAAACAATTGTCAAGGGTAAAGAAATTACTAAACCTGTACCCAGAAGTTTCATTTTTAGGAGTTTACTTTAGAAATTTATGTATCAAATGCGACATTTTTTCAGTACTGTATGCAAACAGTACTTTCAGTGTTCTAGAATAAAACTGCCAAGTACTTAACTGTGTATTAGTAAGAGGTAAGCAAATTGCTACATCAGCGTCATAGACTACCTTAGAATGTTGAAGTGATGTAGCTCTCCTATTGCTAAGCGGGAACAATTTCCACTAGTAAGATGGGGGTAAAGGGGATGTTTGTGTTTTGTTCTAAAATACATACATGCTATGTACACACATGCAGATCGTGTACACGCATGCACTCACTATCCTCATGGGTATTCACTACCCCTGGAAGGAATTACAAACCACTGATAATAGTGATTGCTTTCACGTAGAAGGAGAATTCTCTTTCTAGTATTCTTTTGTACCATATGAAACAGTTTTCTTCTGCTTATGTGTTTTACCTTCCCCCAATATCCTTAAGATGCTTAAGTTTCATGAGAGGTGCCTGGCTGCAGTGACAGACACATCTAGTGATGTTCTGTGGTGTTCACCCCTCCTTGACTGTGTGATACGTTCAGGTCGGTGCTGTTCGGAGAAGTGTGGATGCCAGGAGCTGAGGCATTGGCTGGTGTGCTGAAGTGCCAAAGCACTCTGAGAGAATGTCTTAAGTAGGGAGGTGTTATAGCAGAGAAAACTGCCTTTCCTGGCTGTTTTCAGAGAGCAAAGGGTGAGAAATGGGAGCTTGACTGTTTTGGGTCCTCATTAGGAGAGCCTGGTTTTGTTCTGTTTGCAGAGGTGAGAGCTGAGTGGAAATTCACTAGCTTGATGGGGTTTTGTGTTTATACAGACTCCCTAATATCCCCACCCCTTCTTTTCAGCCTTGCAGAAATAAGAGCCCCACCTAGGATTCTTTACATAAGGCTCCATAAACAATATCATTTACGGCACAGTTTAAGCTAACCAAGCCTGACCTGAAGTTCAGAGTCACCAGCTCAGCACCCATGTGGAAGGAAACTGTCTTATCTTTGTAAATGTGAGGTGAGGACTGCGTGTCAGTATGTAGACAGTTTCATTCAGTTCCTCTTGCAGCTTTACCTACTCTCGACTTTCTGAGGAGGGTTACCACATTCTTGTCGTGAAGCAGTGACTGTGCCAGGCGGTTTCTGCAAGAAATAAGTTTTTCAGGTACCCTGGGTTTGGGCATGTGTGAGTGTGGAGGTGGAGATGATGCTTCTGACTTTTCTAATTCCCTCCCTCTCCTGTTTAAGAACTGACAGACAATTTGTGATGGTAATTTTTTTGAGACAGTCTCTCTTTGTTATATGTAGTTCTGGCTGTATTGGAACTTTGCTCTATATCCCAGGCTGACCTCAAACTCACAAAGATCCACCTGCCCCTACCTCCAGAGTGCTGGCATTAAAGGCGTGCACCACCATGCCTGGTTTAGTATTGTAATATTTATCTGAATTCCTGAGTGAAATATCCCTAGGAGAGTCCAGATCCATGTAGGTAGCCAGCTTTCTCTTTGTTAGATACTAATATGTGCATGTATGTAACAGTAAGTCTGCTGGAATTTGGCAAAAGAAACTCTTTATAGTATGCTGTGCTCTCATTTCAGGGAGAGGCCTGATTTTGAAGGCTAGAGGATTGGACAGGCTGAGCAAGTGATTGTTTCATTTCCATAAAGGTGGGTCTGGGATTATCTTTTGGTAGCTTTTATTAATAATTAGTGAAACTCTTGTTAAAGTTTGCTTAGTGGTTATTTTTTCTTGAAATACTTCTCTAATTCTTGCAGCAGAGATGTCAGCTTATTTATAGGAATCACCCAAAGCCAGAGTCATGGTGGATGTAGGAAAGTGGCCAATCTTCACTCTCCTCTCACCCCAGGAAACTGCATCGATCAGGAAAGCATGTGTCTTTGGTACTTCTGCCAACGAGGCGATCTATGTCACTGACAAAGATGAGGTAAGACTAGAGTTTAGTTTGGGGCCTGTTTTGGGGTTGGACTTGAAACCCTATAGTTTGAAGGTTGAGAGTAGGTTTGGGATAAAGAGAACCTGAACTTCAGGATGGGTAACTCTTGATGCATTCCAGTTTCCTGTTAAAATGCCTTCTGTTCTATAGTATAGACTAATACTGCAAAGCCTGCAGTGTTCTCAGCAGAGGCTGGAAGTTTCCTGCTATATTAGTCTCTGCTTGCTGCCTGGGCTCAAACTAGACTTGAATGTGTCTTATTTTCTGAGCAGGGAAAGGAGCCTTAAATGTGATTAGACAAAGGTATTTGTTTTCTAGGTCTTCGTGTTTGGACTGAACTATAGTAACTGTCTAGGAACTGGAGACAACCAGAGCACTCTGGTGCCCAAGAGACTAGAAGCCTTGTGTGGAAAAAAGATCAAAAGCCTTAGTTATGGGAGTGGCCCCCATGTCCTGCTCAGCACTGAAGGTAAAGAACTCTGGCATTGGGATTTGTGAGTAATTGAACAGTTCATTCTGAGCAAGGAGAAGTGCTGTATCAAGTAACTAACTTTGAATTGTTCTTTGTTTGTGGAAGAGTATATAATTAAGATAAGAATTTAGGACACTCAAGGACAATTGGGATAGCAGCAATGTGTCTTGTATACAGTCTCTAAGATTCTTAGACTTTCAGTGTCAATTGCAGAATGCTGGAAAAGTCAAAGGATGTGGTTCCTCCAGTCTGATTTTTCAGTGAATGTATGGTTATAGGGCAACTTTGAGAAGATTTCTTTTATATATTTTTTAAATTTATTTTTATTATTATTTGAACTATTTGTGTAAGCAGTGTGGGGGGATGTACATGCTAGCACAGGGCCTGCAGGTGGTTGTGAGCCATGTGATTTGGGTGCTGGGAATTGAACTTAGGAAGAGCAATACATGCTGTTAACCCCTGAACCATCACTCCAGCCCTCTTTGGTATATTTTTATAAACACACATAATCTGGCTTTTCTCCTTTATGTAGCTGCTGAATCTTGAATCAAGATATCTTAGTTTATTCTGAAGAGTATCCATGTGGGTGCCATATTGAAGGGCTAGAAGAAATGGACAGATTCTTGTCCTTTAGACTGCCTCTCACCGAGGTCACCAAAGCGTAGCTATTCTCCTTTGGTAATTGTCTGTGCTGTGGGCAAGCAGCATTCTGAAAGTTTGTCATGTGTAACTGCTTCCCTTTGGGTTTTAGGCCTTTTACCCCTTACAGAGGCCCTCATATTTTATTAGATGGTTCTGTAGGGCAGGCTGTGGGAGACAGAGTGCATCTCTGCTTTGTGTGTCTGCACTAGGAAAGCCTCAGCTCCCATGTGTGCTGCTTCAGCCTCTGTGGTCACCTGACTTCAGTGGCTCCAATCTGAATCTACTCCATGTTCTCTCCATCTCTCTCAGGCTGTGAGAGCCAGTCCCCATACAGCAGTCTGACGAGGTTTGAGCATAGCATGGCAGCTCTGTCACACCTGCTCTGAGTCATCGTGTGGTTGCTCCACTCGGCCCTGTCAGCTGACACTCTACCAGCTGGTTCACTCTCACCCATCCTGACCTAAGGGTTTGAAGTGTTCAAACATAGCAATCATAACCAGTGCTTGATATCTGACCCTAAATACTGAAGAACATTTTTAATATTGCAAACACATTAAAAGACATACTTTCAAATTACTGCCTTTCTTTAAAGTTGTGTCCTTTGGAATATGTCATGATTCTTTTGAAATTATGCTATAGTCTAAACAATATGTTTTAAGTATCTTGAGTATTAAATTTAGTATACAAATAATTAGGGCTTGATGAGGAATATTTTCTTTTTATGTTTAATCTTTATATAGTATATTTTATGCAATATGTATTAAGTATACTATATATTGTGTGCCATATCTATGATTGATTACAATATCTAGGTTATGTGGTTATAACCAATCAAATCATTTTAAAAACTTTGTGTGTACGTGTGTTCACGTTTGAGTTCAGGTAGCTCTAGGGTGTGTATATGGGGGGTTGCTGGAGATTCAACTGCTGTTTAGAAGGAACCACTTTAAGTCTTCAGATGTTTCTTTGGAATTTGATCTCTCATATTATTGTTGTGTATGTGTGTGAGGGTGAGCACGTGTGCCACAGCGTGCATAGGAATTGAGAGGATAACTCTTGGAGTTGTTTTCTCTTGGGCTTGCATTTTTGGGTAACAAGTACCTTTGCACACTGAGCCATCTTGTTGGCCCATCATTCTACCTTATTGAGGCAGTCTCTTGTTTCTGCTGTGCTGTGTACTCCACTGGCTTCTGAGAGATTCTCCTGTCTCTGCTTCCATCCTCCTGTAGTGCTGATTACCCGCGTGTGCCACCACATCCACCTTTTCTTTTCGTTTTTTATGTGGATTTTCAAGATTGAACAGCATGAGCTTTTGCCCACTGAGCTACTTTGCCAGCCTGTTTTCTTTCTGATTTTTAAAGTAAGGTACTTATACGTCTACTTCTGAGTTTCCAGTCTTGGGTTTTCTTTCAACTTTGTATTGGGGCAGACAGAATTTAGCTCTTTGTCCTCTATCTTTCTTCCCTTTATCCTTTAAACACATGGATACTAGTGTTTTGGTTAAATTAGTGTTGATGCTTTCATTATTGGGGACTGTGTATTTATAGCGAAGCCTTTCCCTTCTTGTATGACCCCCACCTCCACTTCCTGAGGTTGATAATTGCTTTGTGCATTTTCATTTACTGACACCTTTACACATTTATCATTAACACATGTCCACCTCTTACAGAATAGCACGTATCAGATGATCTCTGGAGCCTCGTCTCTCCTCCAGAACTGCTAATCTTGACTGGTTACACTCCCAGATTGCCTGCACAGGTGCCAGCACTATCATCCTCAAAAGTCTCTTCACTTTTTCCTCTCTAGTTCCTTTTTGTATATGTGTGTCTCATGTCATTCTCCTTAAATTCTACCCTCATCTGGGAAACACATTCTCTAGAACTTTTCAAGACAAGGATCTGAGAGGGATCCGTGAGTCTCTGTCTTAAGGTCTTTCACTCTCACAGATGTGACTCAGTGGCTTGACTGACATCAGAATTCTAAGGTGGGAGTCTGTTTTCTCATCATTTTCAAGCCATGGTGCTTGTTAAGATTTAGCACGGACACTAACTCCTTCCACTCTCCTGTGTGAGTGCACACCTGTGAGCACGTGTGGACGCAGGAGGTCCGTGTTCTCTATTCCTTTCCACCTGTGGCTTTGAGACAGGGTCTCTCACTGAGCCTGGAGTTCACCCATTGATTAGACTGGTTGTCCCATGAGCCCCTGGGCTCCTCCTGTTCTGACTCCCAGCCCTGAGATCACTATGTATGCCGCTGGACCCTGATTTTTACACATGTGCTGAAGTTTGGGCTCAGTTTCTCATGCTTGTGTTGCGAGCACTTTATCCATAGAGCCATCTGCTCAACCCCACTCGTACTCCTTTGTGTGTGACTGTTTCCTCCTTTTTTGAACATTAGAGACATCTTTTTCTTTATTCCATATATTTTTAAAGAGTCATGATTGCTCTGGAGTGGGAACGTTTAGCTTATTAGTAATCTGTAGGTCCTGCCTTCATCTCTAGAAAACATTTTTATAACTTTTCATAGATAATTTTTTTCCTGCTCTGTTCTTTTAGGACTTTTTCTTATATAAAAGAGATTCTGATCTAATTTTCTTGATTTTCTTTTATATGTGTTCTGTAAAATTAACTTACTAAAACCATGTATAATTAAATTTTACTTACACCCATGTTTGTACAATGTCTGTGTGTGTATGTGTGTGTCTGTGTGTGTGTGTACCCCAAATTCTCACCCAATTCTTGCATCACCACACAACCCAGTCCCAACTGGTGTTAACAACAGAACCGTGACATACTCTTGCTATGAATTTCTCATAACTGATGGCACATCTTTTTGGAGTTTTCAGCTGGAATTGGCTCTGCACCCACTTCCCCTTTTGCAGCTGCTGGTTGATGCCTTTTCTGGTTTGCTTTGTTAGTTACAATATCTGTCTGCTTTTCATCTCCAAAGTTTTGTCTCACGTAGCCCAGGCCGTCCTCAGATGCATCGTGTAACCAAGAGTGACCATGAGCTCAAGATCCTCTTGTCCTATTGCAAGAGTCCAATATAAAAAAGCCCATTTTTATACATAAATTTTGACTTTGACCATCAAAACTGATCTTGTATATAGGTGCCAAGTCCTTTCATGAAAGGTTTGCTTCTGTCCTCTCTATTCTGTGATCCTTTGCTCTCTGACTCCCTACAAGTGGTTATCTTACAGAGAGAAGGGCACAAACGCTAGAGCAATGGAAGTTACAGGGGTTACCAGTTCTGTCAGAGCTAGTGTTTCATGTGCTTGTATGTTTAGATGGAGTTGTCTACGCCTGGGGCCATAATGGATACAGCCAGCTGGGGAATGGTACCACCAATCAAGGCATTGCTCCTGTCCAAGTCTGTACTAACCTCCTGATCAAGCAGGTGGTTGAGGTAGCTTGTGGTTCACATCATTCAATGGCTTTAGCAGCTGACGGAGAGGTAAGTGTGCACTTTGATTCCTTTTAAAGAATTATCATAAACTACACAATACAAAGCTTCTTATCATAAGCATGTTGAATGCACAGCTTGATAGCATTAAGTACATTCACACTGTTGGCTCTGTCCACTCACAGACCTCTTTCATCTAAAAAAGCTGAAGTTCCAAGTCTGTTAAATGTCGGTTCTCCTTGACATTACAACTGTGATCACTGTAGGTACTGCCTGTGCACAGAACTGGATAATATCTGTCATTTTGTGACCGATTTCACTTAGCATAGTGTCCTCAAGTTCATTCATTTCTCTGATGTGTGACAATTTTGTAAATAGATACACAACGTATCTTGAGCCTCTCTACCTCACTCTTCCATTCTTCTAGGCCCCTCCAGCATGCTACCCCTACCTTTATGTCTTCTTTTTGGGAGGGGAGGTAACCCACTGGGTTAGTGCTTCTGGACTATTGACTGATCTTGTTGCCTTAGTCCTGTGCAGGCAGCCATAACTGCAATGAGTTCATTAGTGCAACATCTTTGTCATGTCCACAAGACATTTCACAGTATTCTTCCAAGTATTTCTTCTTCAAGAGTTAATACCATTGCATTATTCCATTGTAAATATGTTACATTTTGTTCATGTGTGTGTGAAAGGGGTATTGGGAATTGAACCCATGGTCTCACATACACTTGGCAAGTGCTCTACCCTACGCCTATTTCATTGACCTTGATGTATATACATAGGGCATTTCCACTATACAGCCATTGTGAAAACCCCTGGTTTTACTTATTAGACTTTGTAGTTAAAAACAAACAATAAAACACATATGAATGCATTCTTTCTCCAGTAGTACTTGTGTCTTGTCATCAGAATCACCCTTAGCTGAATGTGGTGTGTACGTGTCCATGGTCCCAGCACCGAGGACTTAAAAACAGGATGGAAATTTCTAGGCTAGCCTGTGTTGCAGAGGAAGAACTTGTCTCAACAAATTAAAAAATAAACTAACAAAAACCTTTTAAATAAAAGGTTTTTTTAAAAATTGTTTATTTTTATTTGCATTGGTGTTTTGCCTGCATGTATGTCTTTGTGAGGATGTCAGATGTTGAAGTTACAGATGGATGTGAGCTGCCATGTGGGTGCTGGGAACTGAACCTGGGTCCTCTGGAAGATCAGTCAGTATGCTCTCAATATCTGAGCCATCTCTCCAGACACTAAATAAGTTTTTAATTGTATTTATATGTGTATTTATTTGGGGGCTATACCATGTTGTGCGTGTAGAGGTCAAAGGGAAACTTGTGGGAGTTGGTTCTCTCCTTTAACTATGTTTGGGGATAGAACTCAGGTGTCTTTACGTGCTGAGTTATCTTGTTGGCCTCAAAAAAAGTCTCCTTTGCTGTCGTGAGAACCAGCCTTCAGCAGCTCAGGTATAGAGGGGGAGCCACGAAGTTGGTGGACTAATTACTCAATTTGACATTTCTGTCTGAGTGAGTAAAACTTAACTCTTAGGGGCCCATGAAAAAGGGAAATAAACACACACACACCTTTAGGGTCTATCATCTTCTTTCATTTCTTTATTTCTCTTATCTCTATCCTGATGTATCCCTTCTGTATCTTCTTAATTTTTCCTTTATAACTTATATAACCCAGCAAAATCTTTCAAGCAGTATAAAAATTACAATGTGGTTACATTCTGTTTTTAAGTGAAGAATTAACAATAAAACAACAGCATGTTTTCCGTGTCCCATACATGAGTAAACATTTTACATATTACAAGTGAAAAACAAATTATCCCCAAGAACCCAAATATATTCAAATCCGAGCAACTTGCTATAGATTAACTGAGTGTAAGCAGGCAAGGTATTTTTCTCAGCTAGTTACTCTTTTACTGACAGACTGCATTTTGTTGTTACAAAGAAAGGATCAATCACCTTATTTATCTCAAAATGTCATCTTATAAAAAATTCTTGAAAGAAACACAAATCTAAACTATTACACATGAAGCAGTCAGCTCTACTTTAAGTCCTCAGGGTGCACACCCACCCACTCTTGCATTGTATTTTTATCAGAAAGCTGAAGGCAGAAAGGGGTACAAGGAATTAATCATCACCTTGGTCACCAACCCATCCTCACAAGAAGGGTACCTTAGGCAGCAAGAGCCAGGCTGCCATTGTTTTTGTTCCTTACTTCAATGAGTCCCTCGCTCAACTATTAGAAGTATGCCATTCTAAACTTTAAATTGTTCCCCAAGATTTTGTTCCTCAAAGCCATTAACAAACAACATAACCCTAAGTCATTATGTAAAGCTTTGTTTTAGCTGTGATTCACACTGAAACCCGTGGACACATCTCCCAACATTAATACTGAAAGAACTTGAGGTAGCCTAGCTGGGACTAAGTTGTTTTCCTTATTAACCTAAGGCACGTCTATATGGCTTATCCAGAGATACTCATAAGTCCTAGCTGTGTGACATTTCCTTGTCCCTATTTTCTGTCCTACCTATGCCTATATTGATTTTCCCACTAAACTAACCTCTATTGTAATCCTTTAATCTATTTATTTAAAAGTCTCAATCAAAATTTTATTTAAACTAACGCTATTATTGTATAACGCCATTGCTTCAGTTAAACAGTACATCTTAAGAGGAAATCATCTTCATAATCACAGGTAAAAATGTCAGTAGAATGGAATATTTCCATGAAATAATCACACTATATTAAAGGCAATGGGAATTCCCTGTTCCCATTCATACCGTGTTAGATACCAGAGAAAAATGGCATTGGACATACATACAAAGGCACAGCAGTAGCAAGAGACGTTCTGGAGCTGAAACCCTAGGGTCTTGCCTCTCCGAGATTCACCCACCAGTGTCTTTCATTCTGGTGGGCCAAACTCCTGAATTCAAGTGCCACCTGCTGCTCCTCTGATATGGTCACCGGCACCTTTTGATAAGGAAACTCAGTGTTCACATTCATGCTCTTTGCCATGATCTCAGATAGATGTGATATGTAAGCTTCTAAGGACCCCCAGTCTTCAGGTAGGTTATGTTTTTCAGTGTATGTAATAATTTTGGAGAAAACAACTTTTCCAGCAATGTAGTGAGTAACTTGCTCAGCCACATGCCCCTGCTTATGTTATGGTTCCTCGCCCTGTTCATTCTCCCTCTGACCTCTGGAACTGTTGCTCCACCTTATGCCTTTGCTTGATCCTTGCTTCCTGCCTGCACTGTTGCCATTGGTCTTTGTTAGTAACCTTGAGTTTCACCTTTCCAGTCTTCCTTGGCCCTCTGTGATTTCAAAGCACAAATTAGGTCAGTCACTTTGTTCTCTGTTTAAAGTTCTCCAATGGTGTTAATTAATTATACCAGTTGGAAACAAGGTAGAGAGGAAAATGCCACAAAACTGATGGTGACCCAGGTTTCATTGTTGGGATGTATCAGATGTAGGCATAGCACACAGGCTGTGTCCAAACCTACCGTCTCCTTGCCCATTGCTTGTTGAGTGGAAACATGGTCCCCCCATTTAAAGTGAAAGACAGTGGTGCTTGTAAGGACCTTAGAATGTTCCAGAAATACCTGAGGAGTTATCTTTGAAGTTAGACAAATCTTGCTCATTTTGAAGCCTGGATTCTTGCTTTGTTTTAATTGTTAGCATGTGTTAATTTTAATAATGGTGCAGAATCCAGAATCTTTTCCTTATTAAACTAAATGTTTCTGTGACTGTCCCTTGGTGAAGTATATGTTACTTTTCTTCTACCTGTAAAATGCATATTTTATCAGGGTTTTCATAGTGAAGACATCGGCAGCATGTTGGACTGTTGTCAACATGTGAAATTAGAAAGTATCAACAGGGAAGAAAGATGTAGAAGCCAGACTGAAGGTGTGTGAAGACTGCTTGTCACAGGCCAAGGAATGAGGTGAATGTAGGCTCTTAGGAATCCTGCCAGTATTAGAAGAGGTTCGTTCTTCTTCTGTCCTTAAACCTCTCCAGTCCCTATTTCCACCTCCAAGTTGCCTATATCCTTCCCAAACACATCTCCATCATACGCAGAAACTCAACAGCTGTGCTTACCCTCATGAGACCAAGTCTGTCCAGATTCCCACAAGAGATAGGGAGACATCTCCAGACTCCACTCCTTACTGAGAGCTATTAGCAGTTGGTAGCTGCTGTGGGAGGGGCAGGGGGAGTCACTGTTTCTTTTTTAAGGGTGTGGCCATTATTTTCATTTCTCATATTTGTTTCTGGTTTTTGACAAGCATAGAAACCTGCCTGTGTGTCTCCAATAAAAATCTAGTGTTCAGATTGTGGTAGATAATAGCAAAAGTAGGTTGTGCAAAGTTGACAGGTAGCAAGTGAGAACTCTTAAGTACTTAGAAGAACAATCTAATAATCAACGCTATTTCTGTAGGAACAGACACGTCCTTAGCACTTATGACTATTACTCCTATATTACGGTTGAGAAATTACAATGGAAAGTTATAAACTTGATGGTTTTTGTACTGTGTCAGAAATAGGCCAACATGTTTGTGTCTACCATCATGCCTTTTTAGTCACATAACAATAAATTCACAAGGTACAGCAACTTTCGTAGCAATTTGACAAGTAGCCCTGCTTTCCTTGTTAGCCCTGACTGAAGGCTGTCACAAATTATTTATTCCAGTCTTTTAACATTCCAGTCTTAATTATTTATATTAGCTCTCAGAGCACACATTATATTGTTTGCTCTCTCTCTCTCTCTCTCTCTCTCTGTCTCTCTCTCTCTCTGTCTCTCTCTCTCTCTGTCTCTCTCTCTCTCTGTGTGTGTGTGTCTCTCTCTCTCTCTCCCTCTCTCTCTCTGTCTCTCTCTCTGTGTGTGTGTGTGTGTGAAACATAAATATTACAAAGGAATTAAAGAGGCCATGGCATTTCAAAGAGACCTGAGAGGCAAAAGCTGATAGAAGTCAAAAAACAGTCTCTGGCAGTTAAGATGAACTCGGGCTGGAGCTCTCTGGGAGAGGTGATAGCTGCTGCTGCTGCTGCTGCTGCCAGAGTCAAGACTTGGGGTCAGAACTGAGCTTCAGAAGTGAAGTGAAGCCGAGGCTCTAGAGGCCAGGAGTAGGCTTGGGTCCAGAGGGATGAATGGCAGGTGGATGGACAGTAGGTCCACACAGGTGCATAGCAATTTGACTAGAACTTGTAGGACAGTTGGGAGCTCTCTGCTTCCTGTACACCCTGCTCAGATGACAAACCTGTAGAGTCATTGTTGCCACTGCCAAGTGAGTGTTGCACTTTGTTCCTAGTCTGGTGTGTCTGGGAAGTTCTTGTGCCTGGTTTTTCTGATATAATTTTAATGGGCGGTTCCAGTCCCAGTTTATGTTTATGAATTTATGCAGTAGAGCTCTTGTTTATCATTCTGTGTCTTGTGGATGATGCCAGATGGACGGTGCTGTTTAGGTGTCCACCAGGGGCAGAGTCATCATCCTTAGTAGAGTAAAAAGCTGTTTATAAGATGAACCCTCTCAGGGCAAGGCATAGTCTGAAAACCATTTTTACACAATGTGGAGTTACTTAGGGCAGGGCACAGCCTGACCTCAACAGTTGTGCTGGGGCATCAGTTGTGCATTAGTGAGACAGGGAAAAGAACAGTATGGTTTGGAAAGTTTTCCATGAGAAACAAAAGAATTTCTGCCCAAAGAGCTGGGCATGCTTTTTACATCATCAATGCTTCACCTTACTAGTTCCCAAATTAACAAATGTATGTGTCTATCTCATTGCCAAACTCAGAGAGTACCATAGTAAGTTGTTGAAAACATAGTACAGTACTTGGGCTCTATATATCCATTGCCCAGCTGATGGGAATACTGACCCCAGGGCCCCTGTATGGGATTACTCTGAAGATCAGTGGGTAAGTGTGTGTAAAGCATTCAGAGACCATGCCAAAGGTCTAACGACTGGTTTTCCTTGTTCCTTCTCTTGTAGGTATTTGCGTGGGGCTATAACAACTGTGGTCAGGTGGGATCAGGATCCACAGCAAACCAGCCAACTCCTCGGAAAGTTACAAATTGTTTACATACTAAGAGAGTGGTCAGCATTGCCTGTGGTCAGACCTCATCCATGGCTGTTCTGGATAGTGGTGAGGTTCGTCCTCTTCATTTCCCTGTCCCCTCCACCTGCATGCAACAGTGCCAGCATGCAGAGGAGGAGAGTGTGTCTTGTTTACTGGCCCCTAAGGAGGACCAGCTAGCGAGTGCTTGCTCAGTCCTCAGAATGACTCAAATCTGAAGGTGTCAAGTAAAAATTCTAATGTGTCTTAATTTTAGTTTTTGCAAGATCCCTGTAGCCTCATGGTAAAGGCAATGGGTGAGGTCAGCATTAGATCGTGCAGTCTCATCAGTGTAGGTGTTTGGATTTAATGTTGGGACTGAGAATGAATGACCTTCCTTCCAGTGGAAGAGTTGTCTATACAGTTTTAAAGTCAGCTAATGAATTCTTCATAAAACCATCCATGACATCTCACGCTTTACTGGAGGAGGCATCTTGTTTTATGGGAAGATCATCATTAGCTACTTTTATAAACCTACTCTCTGCCCTGTAACCATGACACCTTTTGAGCTGATGGTTATGTCTATGAAATTACTGATGCTACTTAAATGGGTCGTGTACCACCTATGCTTTCCCTGTTGCGTGGGCACTAAACAGTCTTTGTGTATGGCATCATGCAGTGATGGGTTTGGGGTGCTGTACATGTTACTGAGAACTCAGGTAAGTTGACTTTTTCCTGTTTTATTAAATCCTGCTATCATCCATGAATACTTCAGAATCTGTGGGCAATCAATCATCTAATATCCTCTGTTCAGTATTCTTCATGCTTTTATTTTCTCAAGATTTATTTTTATCATTTTTGAATTATACGTGTATATGAGTGTCTATGTGTACACACAAGTGCAGTGTGCCCATGGAGTTTAAAAGAGGCCATCAGGTTTTCAACACATGGAATTACAGGCTTTGGGAGCCCTCTACTGGGAACTGAGCTAGGCTGTCTTTGAGAGCAGTACCCTGTCTTAACTGCTGAATCACTGATTTAACTTTAAAATGATTATTATGTGGTTACTTTTACAATGGGGAAGACAATGAAGCCTACAAAGTAAGCATTAAAAAGTTTTTTCCTAATCTCATTAGTAGTTTCATGTGTGTCCTTGTGAATTTTTCTTTATAAGCAATTGTTGTAGAAGGTTGCTTGTTCGTTCCCCAGCCACCCAGACTCCTGAAATAACCACACAGAAACTGTTTTAATTAAATCACTGCTTGACCAATCACTATAGCATATTCCTATCAAGTTCTTACATATTAAATTAGCCCATTTCTATTATTTTATATTTTACCACAAGGCTCGTGGCCTACCAGTAAGGTTCCAGCTGGCAGCTTGGGTCTTTCCCCTGTGGCGGCTCCATGGCATCTCACTGACTCTACCTTCTTTCTTCCAGCATTCAGTTAAGTTTTCCCCACCTAGCTCTGTTCTGCCCTGCTAAGCCACTGGTCAAAACAGATTCTTTCTTCATTAACCAATAAAAGCAATACATATACAGAAGGACTTCCCACACCAAGCAATTATCTACAGATGAGTTTAATTTCCTTATTTAATTACCTATACATTGCTGCCTCTGTCTGTCGTTCTGTTCCCTGCCGGACTTTCCAGCATTGTGTTTTCTGTGCACTGTCTGAGACTGTCTCTGTAGCACTTCTCAGAGTTCTGCTTAGTTTGCTTCTGTGGGTGACGGACACCTGGACCTCTCTGGAGGACTTTGGGTTGTTTCTGCTGTTGTAAATTATGATGCACTGATTTCTGTTGGTGTATGTTTATCTTGGTGCATCATATAAGCATTTCTATAGAATAAATTCCCAGCATAGAATTTTTAGGTAAAGAAGTATGCCATTAAGAATAGGATAGCTGCTGCCAAATTTCTTTCCAAAAGGCCAGTACCTGTTACACTAATGGCTTTGATGAAATTGCACATAGCCACCTCTTACCCTCTGCCCTTTCTGCTTTACTTTGTCCTGGAAGCCCCACTGTGCATTTGCCTGCATCTGTGTGGGTCTTGGTGCCACCAGAAGTTGTAGGCGTTTAATTTGAACTTGACCTTTTAAAATATGTTCTTGGTTAGAATTTATTACTATGGCCCACACTGAATATTCCAAACCATTAGCCCTCCTGACTAGCCCATGCCAGCTGCTGCTACTTTCAACAGATGGTACATGCTGCAGAAACACCTAAGGGACCACCCGGTTCTGTGATTCTCCTGGCCAGCTCCTTTCTTACCCATCCCGTCTCTTGGTCCCCATCACTTCTTAGCTCAGCACCATATGAAAACTCACTTGCTTACTGATGAAACATGAAATTACGTACTGCTGGGATTAAAGGCATGTGCCACCACCGCCTGACTTATTTATTTATTTATTTTATGAGTTTTTTTTGTTTCTGTGATTTTTTAAAAATGAAAATTTGATCTCTGTTTTTGAATACTATAGTAAAAATTCTTAAATATATTTCATTTTCTTTTTTGTTTTGTTTTTTGTTTGTTTGTCCCTTTGTTTTGTTTTGTTTTGTTTTTTTGAGGTGGTGCCTTGCTGTATAGACTTTGCAGGTCTGGTTCCTATTATGTAATCCAGGCTTGCCTTTAATTTGTGGCAGTCTCCTGCCTCAGCATCCTAAAGCTGGGATTACAGGCATGTACTGCCTAGCTCTAGGGGGTTTGTTTTTATCAGCGTATTATCTGGCTCTTTGTTCTTTTCTTCCACTACTATTCTTCCCTCTGTCTCTGCCGTGACCCTCTGTGCCTTCTGCCTGGAGTGCCACCGTCTGTCCCGCTCAGGCCTCCATTTCTAACAGCTCTCCTCCTCACACCGCTCTCTGTTCCTGCAGTGCGTTGATCTCTGTGGTGGCTCTCACTACCTGTCACCAAGTGTGCACATGTTCCTTGCCTTTGGCAGGCTTGGGCTAAAGATTCCTTCCTTGTACCTCTCATTATGTAGGTCATGTGGTAGGTGCCTGCTAATCATTAATGACCCTCAGTTTTTCATTTGTGAAGTCATGGAATGGGAACAAAATCAGTCATCTGCTTTGCATTTGTAGGACCCTGTAGCCCACAGTGTAGGTTTGGAGATTCTGATCTGCGTAGGTCAGGACTTCTGTTCCCGTTGGCAGTTTGCACAGCTTGTCCTCTCTCTCTCTCACAGGTGTATGGCTGGGGCTATAATGGCAATGGACAGCTGGGCTTGGGAAACAATGGCAACCAGTTGACCCCAGTGAGGGTGGCAGCCCTGCACAACGTGTGTGTGAACCAGGTACACATTGCATTTCTTGCCATACATTTTATGGCAGAGGTATTGGAGGTTAATTCTTTTGTCATTCATTTCTGGCAACTCTTTATACCTTCACTTCTCACGCTTAATGTTTTAGCCTTCCTCGTTTTCTGTTAGAAAAGGGGAGCCCATGGTATTGGACATGGTCTTCTTCACAGGGTAAAGAAATTCATGAAGACAACCAGTGGGTAAAGAATTAGACTTCCCTGATGCTTCTGGCTGCTCCAGCAGATGCCAGTCCACACATGCTGCTGGCCTGGCATTCTGCAGAGACCAACTGTGGCCCAAGCAGGGGGTTGCTCTGCCATGACTGCCAGGATGGTGACCATGTGTGTTTTCTTTCAGATTGTCTGTGGGTATGCACATACTCTAGCACTAACAGATGAGGGCTTGCTCTATGCCTGGGGAGCCAACACATATGGGCAGCTGGGAAACGGCAGTAAAAATAATCTGCTAAGTCCAGCACACATCATGGTGGAAAAAGAAAGGTAAATTTCCTGTGCCATTTCTTGGAGACTATGTGTGTGTGGCCTTGGGACTGTGTGGCTGTGGTGTTCAGCTTGTGACTCATATTTCTTAACATTCTCGTTTTGATCCAAATGGTTTATAAGTTGTAACATGAGGGCCGGCTTGTTGGGGTATCTGTCCTGCCCGGTACCCCTCAGCCGGCATGCCCCAAAGAGAAATCACACACAAGACTCCATAAGGTTATAAACTGATTGGCTCATTAGGTCAGGCTTCTTGTTAACTCTTATAACTTATATTAACCCATTATTCTCATCTATGTTAGCCATAATGGCTCTGTACCTTTCTCTGCTGGGCAAGTTACATGCTCCCTCTTCGGTGGTCTGTACAGGAATGGCCGAGGGAGTTTCTTCCTCCCTAGCCTTTTCCTATTCTCATTGCCCCGCCTCTACTTCCTGTCTGGTTGACCCGCCTATACTTCCTGCCTGGCCAATCAGCGTTTTATTAAAATACATGATTGACAGAATACAAACAATTCTCCCACACCAATAAGTCAGAATGAACATGTGTGAACTTGCCTGTATCCCGAAGCACCCACCTGTGATTGGTGGGAACTAAGGCATCTTAGCTCTGAAAGTCTTGGAGCTGTCTGTTATGTAGGGAGGTTATTTAAGGTCTGCGGTCACACTGAAATTCAAAGTGTAGCACTAACTTTGTACCACCTAAATTCACTTTTAAATAATAAAAATTGCTCTTTAATGGACATTATTTAAATATTAATTTTGTTTATTGTATCCTACTGGGATAGGTGTGTAGTGTTTGTTCATCAAATTGTGAGTTTTATGCAGTTTGTTTGGGGTTCCCTGTCTTAGGAGTACTGTGAAAAGTGAAGCTGATCTGGCTTGATAACCTTTTGGTTTGGAATGTTCAGAGCCCATGCCCCTCAGCCCAGTGGTAGACATCCTAATGAAGATGTTAAGATTTGGGTGAAGATAAGGGAAAAAATATATGTATAAGAAAATGTTTATTGAAGATAATGTTTACGGGGGAGGGGGAAATGGTAGAGATGAGAGGGATATTTGAATCAGGAAAGCGCTTATAAGTCACTGAGTTAGATCACCAGAACCTATATTTAAAAAGCCAGATGTGCTGGTGTGCACTTGTAACCGCTGGCTAGCTTGGCCTATTTAGTGAGTGCCAGGCCAGTTAGAGAGCCTGTCCCAATAAAAAGTTTTACAGTGTCTGAGGTGGTCTTCTGGCCTTGACCCAGATGTGCACACTACTGTTACCCCCCCATGAAAACACACACACACACACACACACACACACACACTAGGTTTTTTTTTATTTAAAAAAATTATATGTGTGAGTGTTTTGCCTGCATGTGTGTATGTGCGCCATGTGTGTGCCTGTTGTCTGGAGTCAGAAGAGTGTGTTGGACCGTCTAGAACTGGAGTTACAGATAGTTGTGAACTACCATGTGGGTGCTGTGACACAAACCCAGGTCCAGTACAAGAACAAGAAGTGTTCTTAACCTTTGAGCCATCTCCCCAGTATCTTTTATTTACTGCTTATCTTCCCAGAGCAGTGAAGACATTCTGTCATTGTCCACTGTCCTCATTGATTTTTAACTTCCAGTCTCTTTCCACATTTGCCTCAACAGTATGTATTATTTATGTGTTCCTACCTCAAGATGAACTTAGGTGAGAAGTGGGCCGTCAGAGAGAGACAGAGAGGAGGGAGGGAGATTAGGGGAGCCTTTTCTGACCTTTGGTTCTGTAGGCAGGGTTTGTGGCTTACATCACTGACCTTGGGCTGACTTGTGAGGTGTTGAAGCGTGAATTTCTAAATTACTCTGTAGAGTGTGCTGGAGGCACGTGTGGGTAAAGTAGTAACATGGGTGTTTCTTCAATGTTTCCAGAGTTGTAGAGATTGCAGCCTGTCACTCCACCCACACATCTGCTGCTAAGACCCAGGGTGGGCATGTGTACATGTGGGGCCAGTGCCGGGGCCAGTCAGTGACCCTTCCCCACCTCACCCACTTCTCCTGCACCGATGATGTGTTCGCCTGCTTTGCCACCCCTGCTGTCTCGTGGCACCTCCTGTCTGTGGGTAAGCCACTCAAGCTGTTTCTCCCTGGGTAACCAAATACTATCCATTGCATATTTGGTAGCTGTGAGCTACTTAGGTTCTAGGATGTTCTCTGTAAGCTAGTTTTAATGTTTTTCCTGAATAATAATGAGATTTATTCATAGGTCATGAAACATTCTCAGAGACTCTTGTTTTTGTCCCTAAGTTCTTCTATTTTAGTTAATTCATATTTAATAACAAAATTAACCAGTACAATCAAGTGGAATGTAGTCCATTTATAATGTTTTGCACTCACTGTTTGTATTAAGCTCCAAATGCTTTTATTACTTTTAAGGCAACCACAACTCACTAAGCAGCCACACTTCATCCACATCCCTTTTCTTGGGGAAAAGAGGATGTTCAGGAAAAATTAAGCTGCTAATAAACTTCAGGAGAAATAAAGAATATTTTTTAAAAATACTTTACCAGCTCAGTTAGTGTAATACAGTATATGTTTGCAGTAAATACAATGACTATAAAGCATTTGGTCCAGTGAATGGAACTATTTGATTGAAATCACATTTATGTTTAGCATACACAGCCAAAAAGGCCAATACAGCACAGCCTGAGATTTCCATGTCCTGCTCAAGCTGGCCTAATTCTGACAGGCCTCTCTAGGTTCTTGTATCTTAAAATGCATATATCTTTTTCAGAACAGAATTTAGTAATGTTTGGATAGGGGAAGAACTAGCCACTCACCTTGCAAATTGTTTCTTTCCTTCCAGCTACTAAAGTAAGAGGGTTTTCCCCTCTAGATGGGAGTTCCCCTGTTAGAGAGAAGTAGTTCTCTAAAAGCAGGATACACTGGCCATCACAGACAAAGAGGGAAGGTTATTTCCATGCTGTGATGAGATGCTGAGACACCCATAAAAACCTTGGTTTTGGGTGAGTGGTTGGCCATCACCCGTATTCTGGACACCTTAGTCATCTCCTTTCTTTTCTCTTCAGCACTCAGGCTATGGGGTCGGGGGGCTGGTCTTTAAATAAGCCGCTACTCCTGGCTCCTGGCTCAGTCGTTGTTCTCAGCCCAGGGGTGGGTCTTTCTTGTGTCATTTGTTATTTTGTTCCCCTGTATGTATGAAGTAGCGGATGGTGTGCACAGTAAGATCGTGTTCCTTAGGTAGACTGCTCACAGCAGCTCGTGTCATGGAACATCTTTGGTTTTCCTGTAGAATGCTTGAGTCCTTCCAGGGAAAGTTGGCTGCTTCTAGGTAGTGTAGAAGAATTAGTGTTATCAATCACATTAATTTTCAGAGTTAAGAATAATGTTTAGATATCAGATGACTAACAACTTTCTCTTCCTAAGAACTGTTTGCATGGGAAGGTGTTTTGGGTATTCCATCCTATAAACTGATCAAATCAGAACAAAGATGTCAGTGTTTCAGTCAAGGAAAATTGGTGAGCACTTAGTCCCAGAAGAAAAACCACTCAAGTTGTGAGAGATCAGTTGTATCCCCATAGAGTACCTATGAGGTTTATTTGTTTGGTTGGTTTTGTTTTTTTAAGACAGGGTTTCTCTGTGTAGCCCTGACCATTGTGGAACTTGCTTTGTAGACCACACAGCCTCAGACTCACAGAGACCCACCAACCTCTGCCTTCTGAGTATCATGATTAAAGGTGTACATCACTACCACCTGGCATGAGATTTATTTTTAGTGTGTATTTTCATGTTTAATTATACTTGAAGACTGTTATTTGGCTTTCCCAGATACTCATTTTGTTTTATTTGTAGTTTACAGATCAATTACCTTAATACTGTGAGTTTGATTTGTTAAATGAGTCATGAGCTTTATTGACCAGAAATAGAGTGGAATTAGGTACCATAATTTATCTTTTGAAAGCCTCTCATGCCTGATTCTGTCTCTTGAGCTTTGTGTTAATGGTGTGTCTGTTGCCTTCAGAGCATGAAGACTTTTCAACAGTTGCAGATTCACTGAAGAAAGAATTTGATAGTCCAGAAACTGCTGATCTGAAGTTTCGAATTGATGGGAAATATATTCATGTCCATAAAGCTGTTTTGAAAATCAGGTATTTTTGCATGAGTTTAGAGCCATCAGTAACTTACCTCCCTTTTGTTATAACTGTTTGTTTAGTATACTGCAGAGTAGACACTAAGAAGAAATTGTTATGGCAGTACAAAGAAGTTTGACAATTTAGTATTCTGGGCAGATAGTTATCAGTTCTACTTATTATCAAAGACTGTCTTGTATTCATGCAACTTTTGGGTGGTATAACTACTTACGTTTTTTTCTGTCATTTAGTTTTCTGTAGTCCTAGAAATTATAGTCAGTACTTGCGCATACTATGCAAACCCCTGATTGGGAAGTGGAGACTGCTTGTTCGTTTCCCGGCCACCCAGACCCAAATAATCACACAGAAATTATATTAATTACAACACTGCTCAGCCAATGACCCAGGTGTATTACTAGCTAGCTCTTACCTTGTGAATTAACCCATTTCTATTAATTTGTGTATCACCATGAGGCTGTGTCTTTCCAGAAAGATTCCAGGCATCCTTCTACTTTGGCAGCTACATGGCCTCTCTGTGACTCTGCCTACTCTCTCTGTCTCTGTTCGGATTTCGTGCCTGGCTTTGCTTTGCTAAGCCATTGGCAGAAACAGCTTAACTTATCAACCAATAAAAGCAACACATATTTAGAAGGACATCCCACATCACTAATTCTTACATTGTTTTTCAGATTACAGATTTGGCTGGGGCTATAGCTCAATAGTAGAGTACTTGTCTAGCATGAGCAATGCCCTGGGTTTGATTCCCCAACATTAAAAATAAATGAACTAATAAATTAATTGCAGCTCTAGTAGATACTCAATTTTATTTGCATGTTAAATTTGTGAGTAGGTCTCAGTATATATTCTCTTCTATTATTAAAGATTAATTTTTTCCAAACAGAAAAAAAAGACATGTTTTTACCTATGGCTCTGTGATCAGTGTGGCTGTGTGTGTCTTTCTCATAGCTTTTCTAACCTGTTACATCCATTCTGCATTGCTTAGAAATATTTTTTAACCCCTCAAAGTAACTATCACTGAATCCATTTTTTTTTTTAGAACTCTGAGTAAATATTGTGTATTTCTGCACCATACCTCACTCTGCCACTAAGCTACATCCCCAGTCCTCATTGTATTGTTTAAAATGCATTTCTGGGGGGCTGGAGAGATGGCTCAGAGGTTAAGAGCACTGACTGCTCTTCCAGAGGTCCTGAGTTCAATTCCCAGCAACCACATGGTGGCTCACAACCATCTGTAACGAGATCTGGTTCCCTCTTCTGGCCTGGAGGGACACATGGAGTCTGAACATTGTGTACATAATAAATAAATAAGTCTTAAAAAAATGCATTTCTGTATACATAAAACGTAAAACAAATGATTGGAACACTTAATTAGGATGGGGACTGATGGAGACAGTGCTGTTGTACTCCTGGGCTCTCTATCTAATTGATACTTTTAAATGGTAATATCAAGATGAGAGTGATTTTAGCAACATTGCACTTAAAAGTTCTTGCATAGCAAATACTTTTGGTGCTAATAGTGAGTGAATGATCCCAATTTGTGCCAGCCCAGAAGGTAAAGGATACCTGTAATACCTTTTATTTGCTTTCAACCCTTTCATTGGTATGGTTTGCTTTTGTTGTAGGTGTGAGCACTTCCGATCCATGTTCCAGTCCTATTGGAATGAGGACATGAAGGAGGTGATAGAGATAGACCAGTTTTCTTACCCTGTGTACCGTGCCTTTCTCCAGTACCTCTACACAGACACAGTTGATCTGCCACCTGAAGATGCCATAGGTACCGCATAGGGACTGACCAGGTCATGTGCCCGTGACTTTGTCCTAGTCTTAGAGCAGTGATATATAGTTAATTACAAGTTTATTAACTTTTGTATACTTAAAAATAGTGTTTGCTGGGTGGTAGTGGCACGTGCCTTTAATCCCAGCACTTGGGGAGGCAGAGGCAGGCGAATCTCTGTGAGTTCGAGACCAGCCTGGTCTACAAGAACTGGTTCCAGGACAGGCCCCAAAGCTACAGAGAACCCCTCTCGAAAACCAAAAACAAAACAAAAATAATGTCTAAAGTAAGCATCTCTAAACTGCTGCTATTGTTTAAAGTTATAGACATACTTCGTAACTGTAAACTTATTTAAAATATGAAAATATAAGTTTCTAGTGCATTTAACCTTTTGTAAACAAAATAAGGAAGAGACTCCCTTTCTTATTCTGTGTACTATGGAAGAAATTGTATAAAGTAATTAATTACAGGACAGGTAGATTTTGGGAGATATGAGGAATGAAATAAAAAGGTATTTACTCAGATTCAGAATAGCGCTTGCTAAGAAATCGCTCTCACGAACTGAACATGGCATGTACCAGCTGCCGTGGGTGCTGTGAGCTGGCGTGACCTTGGTGCTTCTGCTTTTTAGGTCTTCTGGACTTGGCGACGTCATACTGTGAAAACAGACTGAAGAGGCTCTGTCAGCACATCATCAAGCGAGGCATCACTGTGGAGAACGCATTTTCTTTATTCTCTGCTGCAGTCAGATATGACGCAGAGGTAACATAGAAGTGCCCAGCTCCCTCCCTACCAGCCCACCTCCCTTTCTCCTCTGACAAGGAGCGTGGCTAGCTTCACCTCTCTTAGTGACTCAGCGGCAAGGCCTCAGATGAACTCGGCCTTGCTTCTTTACATCTCTGTTCGCTGTTTCAGGATCAGCTGTGTTTCTGCTTCTGCTTTTAACTGATTGGCTGAAGGCTGCACAGGGGGAGTGTAGAGTGCTGGACTCCCTGGACTGGCAGACAGCATGCTTTAGTTCCATCCTCTGATGTCAGCGCATCTGTGTTTCTCAAGGCCATTTTGCTAAGTTCACCTGTCAGAAGCCCACGATACTGTTTGCTTTACATCTGTGTGCTTGCAAGTCCGTCATTGTCATGTAGCTCAATCGTTCTGGTGTAAAGAACTTAGTGTGTATTCCCTCTTTTTTAAAAAAGTCTTTGCGTGTGTACACGTATCTGGAGACTAAAGGACAACTTTCAGGACTTGATTCTCTTCTTCCAGTCTTGCATACACTCCAAGTCAGTTGTTAGGCTTACGCAGAAAGTGTCTTTACCCATTGAGCCATCTCAATAGTTCCTACTTTGTTTTATACTAGTTGAATGTTAAATCTGGGTTTCTCAGATTTCTAGAGTCTGATGAGTGGTGTTCTGTAGTATGTATGACATTGAACTTTCATAAACTTATCAGAGCCACAAATCATGAGCACATGCTGCACCTGACTCACCATGCTGCAGCACCTGGCACAAGCATTGAGGCGTGGCAGATGCTCTTGCATTGTGAGGAGAGTGCCACAGAAGGGTGCAGCAGAGATAGTTAGTGAACTCATAGCTGACCTGGTTAGATTTATACAGATCCATAAAAATTAGCAGGTCCAAAATGGCTAGCTTTGCTAAGTACGCCGTGAGCCTCTCTTTTTGGAGGTGTTTTGTCAATTTGACAAGACAGTCAGTCTCTGCTAGCCGGAAATTTATTAAAGATACATATTGTGGCTTTTGAGGTATAACAGAGGATAAACTTCCTATCTGCCACACTTAGGGATTGAGTTGACCATTATGCCTTTTATTTTCAAAGCATATCCTATTTTTGCTTGAGGTTCTTTTATGATAATAAATATTTCACAAGGTCAATTGTAGCTGACTCTGGAGCATGGTGACAAAGGGGAAGATGGTCAGGTGTGGTATGTTTTCTTCCCTTCCTGTCACACCTTGAGCCTGTCTGTTACTAGTGCTGCTCTAACTTAGCCTTCGTTTCCACATAACTGTAATTTAAATTGGGTTGATGCTGTTTCTCTCCTTTGGGGATTGGCTCCAGACTTGTGCCTCTCCACACTTCTCCATGCTCTGTGCTCAGTCTGTTGATGACAGCAGTCAGAGCAACCTGCTGAGAGGCCCGCAGCTTAGACTCTCTTACTGCAAATTTGTTCCCCACTTTGACCTGAAATCTACCTTTCAGAGTTTACAGGACAGGGCCAGGCACACACCTTTAGTCCCGGAATTCAGGAGACAGAGGCAGGAGGATCTCTGGGAGCTTAAGGCAGCCTGTTCTGTGTAGTGAATTACAGTTCAGCCAGGGCTACAGAGAGAAACCCTGTCTCAAAACAAACAAACAAACAAACAAAAAACCAACAAACTCTTCCTTTAGAGAGACTACAAATAAATGTGATTACTTGGAGTTTATCCCCAAATAGGCAGAGACAGCACTCAAAAGCATATGCTGAATTGAATAATTGAACATGTTTGAAATTCCAAAAATAAATATTGAATGAAAAAATATGCTTAAAGCACTTCAGTACAAAGGGGCACCTTTGTAAACAGGTATTCATGGGAGCAGACAGACATGACACATTCAGTGTGGAAATAGAGTAGAGTCATTATGGTACACTTCTAGGACTTCGATACTGAGCTATCTGATGAACGGGTATACTTGTACATTTTATTTCCTTAGTACCTTGGAATGTAGTCAGTGACCATAGTGTTGGATGTTCAGATCAAACCCATTACATACCTTAGGTGATAGGAAGTGGCTGAGACTGATAATCAACTGTGAAAACTGATTTTAGAAGCCTAACTTTGGGGTAGCAGCTGCCATTGGGCCATGGCTGGTGCTTTGGAGATGAAGGCTGCCTGCTGCTCAGTTACCTGCTTCATTACAGTGACTGACTCCTCCATGTGCTCTTTGAAGGAACCTTGAGGTTAATGTACAAAAGAAGTGCAGGCTTAGTAGTTGTACCTAAAAAAGCAAGGCCATGGTGGAAGTCTTAGGGTGTGTACTGTCAGACTTGACGTGTTCTACAGTGCACTGGGAGGAGTCACGGTCCTCCATCACGGAGTGGTGAGGTGCTGAAGTGCTGCAGGAGGACACGTGTTCAAACACAGAGGGAAATGCCAGCTGAGGGGCCTTTCAAAGAAGGGACAGAGTTTGTGGAAGTCTTGGGCTGCAAGAATTCTTCTAATTGCTGTTTTAGCATCTTAAACAGAATGTTAGGGCTCCAGCCCAATATTTTAAGAAATTGGTGGAAATAAAAAGCAATTTAGTTTTCAGATTTGTAATGATTGGAATGATTTCAAGATAAAAGATTGGACCAAGAGCCTGTAAGATGGCTTAGTGAGTAAAGGTACCTGCCACCATCCCCAGCAGGGGTCCAACTCAGCGGGAACCACACATGGTCAAGGGGGGAGCCAACTCCTAAAGTCCTCTGAGTTCCGTGCCTGTGCCCCTGCCCACAGGTACTCTTTTTTATTTTGGAATATTTTTTCAAAGTAGTCATTTACAAGTGTGTTGCTCCCTGCTAACTACAGTCTAGGTCTGACGCTGAATCTGCCTGGAGCCACTTTGTAATTTCTCCACAGATTTATACATCTTAGTTCCTAGTACAAAGACCTCTCAGTTTTGTTTTCTCTCCTCTTCCCTGTCCATGAAGCTTATGATTCCTTAGTTTATTATGTATGAATTTTTTTCATCTGCTGATTAAATGCCTCTTCATCTACTTTGATTTTGTTGTGAACATCTTTTTTAATCTGCTGGTAAAAAGGCCCCCCTTTTAAAAAAATGTTTTATATTTGAAGCATAGCAGTTCTTGATGGTTGGTTTCTAGTTGTGCAAAGGCTGTGGTTTCGTATCTAGTTGCATTTTCAATGTCCAGATCATTGAAGGGCTGGCAAATGAACACGCCCAGTGCATTCTTAGAAGGTGAGGATGACCCCGTCACATCAGAAGCAAACTGACTTATGTATCCAGGGTTGATGAGATGGCTCAGTGGGTTAGGGTGCCAAGCCTGACATCCTAAATTCAATCCCCAGACTGAACAATCCCCAGGACACAAGTGGTAGAAAAGGAGAACCAACTCCTGCAAATTATTCTCTGACTTCCGCTTGCTTACCTTGGCTTGCCTGTGCTACTCTCCACCACAAATAAAGAAATTAAAATCCAAGGAAGAAAGAAACATGAATCTAGCCAGGTGTGGTGGGACCCACCTATAAGCTCCCAACTTGAAGAGGATGAGGCAGGAGAATTATGAGTTTTTATCAGGGTCAGCCTGGTCTACATAGTGAGACCTTGTCTTTCAAATTATTTATAGTCCCAGGACAGGCACCAAAGCTACAGAGAAACCTTGTCTTGAAAAAAAAAAAAAACCAAAAAATAAATAAATTAAAATAAAATAATTTATAAACCACACAAAAACAAACAAAATCTGGATCCAGAGATATGCTAATGTTGTAAATGCCCTTTGAGTTGTCTGAAAAGTAAATCTTGGGCAGCAGCTGACTGAGACAAATTAGTTGTGGTTTCTTTCTTGGTGGTTGTTCATCTGGTGAGTTTTCTTGCAGCAGGATGTTTTCAGTCTTGGACAGAAAATCCTGTGGTAAGGAAATACAGATGTCCGTAGGAGTCTGCCTGAGTGCAGAGAGGGGCTCTGGTTCTCTGCTCTGCTTGCTGGGGTCTTCTCTGCACTGTCTAGAATTCTCACCTCAAGGCAACGAGGAGCAGGAAGTCACGACCCTTCAGTTTAAATGGAGAGTTCCTCACAGCTTGCCAGCTGGCCCAATACAAAAGGAAAAATCGAGCCATTTTGATTAAAAAATAAAACAACTTTTTTCTGTTGTTTGCTTTAATACATTGAAGTTCTCTTTATATCCATACCAATTTATATAATGAGTGTGTGTTTGAACTTCTGGCTTACTGGGGCCTTTCAGGGATGAGTGGATGTGATACCATATCTATATGATGCTTTACAAATTAATGTTGGCTATTGGTGACTTCATTCATCTGCCTGAGAACTCTAGTCTGTGTAAATACACTTGTCTGGGCTTGACTGGGAGCTTATTAATAGCATGCTGGAAGACATATTAATGAGGGCTATAAAAATAAATTCATTTTTATTAGACCATGAAAATAAAGTTTTGGAGATTTTCTTTTTAAATATCATTTTAGGTAGACCATAAATTTTCATCTATTTCCTAAAGCCTTCTGTTCTTTAAACTAGTCCATATTTTAATTTGTTTCTGTTTTCTTAAATGTACCAAAACATGTATGGACTAAAGTGGCATTGGGCTTTGTACAGTGTCTTGAGATACTTGTGCCAAGTGACAGCCATGAAAGGCCGCCGATGTGTGTCACACTTGGGTTATGGAAACCATGCTTTCACTCTTGTGAATGGATGGCAGGTGGTTTTCTGGTGAGATGTAGTCCTCTTGCTTGCCTCGTGTGAGCTATCTGGGATGGGTGAGAGAATTGGGATGAGGGGATTTTCAGAGAAACAGTTCACAGTTAATAAACAAAGGCCTCTTCCTGTTCTTATTTTTGTCGTGTATGTCCAGGATTTAGAAGAATTCTGCTTTAAGTTTTGCATCAATCATTTGACAGAAGTTACACAGACTGCGGCATTTTGGCAAATGGATGGCCCCCTGCTAAAGGAGTTCATTGCTAAAGCCAGTAAATGTGGAGCCTTTAAGAACTGAAACCCAAGGCTGCTGGGCTGGGTGTGAGTGGGTGATGTGAGACTGCAGGTAAAACCCGCCAGGTCGCTTTTGTCACATCAGAGTCAGTAGGAGTATATGAAGGATGCTTTTCATGAGCCTGTTTTTCACAGCTCTTCTTTCTGGATACGTGGACTTGAAATGTGATTTTCTTACATTTTGCTGAACACTCTGAAAGGATGAAAGTTTAGTTGCTTTTGATTTTTTAATTTTGATGAGAGGATCTTATGAACGGGGATTAAGGAAGCTGGTGAGATGTTCCTGGACCTTTGGCGACAAGCCTATTCACACTGCATGTGGAGGACAAGCCCCGCCATTGCTCCTGAGTGCTGCTCGCTGCCACCACCTTCCTGTGGGGCACCAGACTGTGGGAAGCTCTCAAGAAATACTGTCGAATATGCATCAACTCCACGTAAACAGTCAAGAAATGTTGAGGTTTGCCGAGATTCTCTTGAGATGTGGGCACCTCAGGCTGGAAAGATGGCTCAGCGGGTAAAGGCTGTAATCACTAAGCCCGATGACTTAAGTCCCCAGGACCCTCATGCTGGAGAGAGCAAACTTTAAAAGTTGTCCTCTGATGTGACTACACATATGCACACAATAAAAAAGTGTAATAAAAAATAAAAGATTTAGGTACCGAAAGAGTAATGGCTAGAACTACTGTGAGACACGATAAAAGAAGATGCTTTGTTTGATAAAGGAGAGTGGTTTAGAACTCCTAATTCTCGACTTAGCCTGACACACTCACTCCCAGCAGTGTTTCATTAGGTTGCATTTGAGAGTGCAGTACACACTACCCCTCAGCCTCACCCTGTAACCACACATTCTCTATATCTGATCTTTTGTGACTTGATGTGACTGTTAAAACCACCTTTCTTACAGGACTCAGAATGGTCACTTTGTGCCGGGGAGTCTGGGCCACATTCCATCACAAATTTATTTGAAACTTCACCTTCCAGGTGTTTTGGTTTTTTTTTTCTTGCTTTACTTGTGTTAGGAGTACTTTTTGGCTTATTTTAGCCTTGCAAAAGGGTTCCTGAAGTTATAGTTTTCCTAAAAAGACTGTCATCTGGCTATGAATGTTACTGGGGTGTAGAATGTTGTTGTCCCAGCCTTGCCCATTAAGCTTGCTTTCAGAATGAGCCATTGTCTGTTTGCTCTCTGCTCCATGAACTCCTTTACATGTATGTGTGTTCCCTTCGTGTGTTCTGTTTCCTGCTTACAGAGGACCGTCTGGCCTTAGCCTGCGTTCAGAGCCACATTAACGGGGAGGGAGCGCAGCAGGCGCTGTGCAGCTTTCAGATGATGTGTTGGGGTGGAGTGCTGAGGGAGGCACCAGAGGCAGGAGTTGTTGACAGGCCAGACAGATGCCAACCCAGAACCCAGTCCCCTTCTCTTGGTCGTGTCACAGGTGTATTGGTCAGTCAGAATTGGCTCTTCAGTGAGAGTTTTCTTCCTAGGACGATGAGTGCATATTGATACCGTTTGCTGGAATAGGCCATCTGGATAACCACAGTTCTCTAGACTTAGAGTCCCAAGGTGGTAACATTGATATGTTTACTATTATTCTTACTTGAAAAACCTCTCCACAGAAAAGCACAAACTACAGCTGTAAATCCATATCCATAGATAATTCACCTGGCAAGAACCTACTGAGTTCTGACAGCTGTAGACACACTTCTCAGCTCACTGGGGGCTTGAGTGTGTATGGCAGTGAAAGAACAAGTCCTTTCAGAAAGGTTGGAGGATTTTTTTTAATGCAATCTTTTTATTTTTCTATTTGGTTTTGTTTTTAATCATCATAGAAAACAAAAATTATTCTTGAAACTGTTCTCTTCTGATGCAATAATGGAAGCCAGAGAAGTCACAATTTCTTAAAATAGCCTAAACTGTATCCTTGAACTTACTGGAACAATGTTTGATACTTGAGTATTTAGGATGCATTTGTGTAATTTCTTGAATGACATAATAAACAATCTCTTAAGGCAGGCCGTGTACAGTTGTGGTTGTTTTCTCTCTTTAGAGTACAGTAGTATATACATCCTGGAAAAGGGAGGAACTTGTTATTTTGGTACAGCATGGGTCAATTTGTGGACTTAAGTGAAAAAGAAATAAGTCACAAAAAGACAATTATGTGTTCCTAGAGGTGGGAAGAGAGTGATTGTCGGGCTGGGAGAGGGAGCTCTTACATGGGCACTTTTCGTTTTACAAGAGGAAGATGTTTTTGGATGAATGATAATTTTTGACTATATTTGATGTTACTGAACTATATTTTTTCTCACATACATTATTTGAGTCTCTCACAGCTGTATGAATTAAGCACAGATTATTTTGACAGTTAGCAAAGCTTAATAGACAAAGAAGTTGATAATCTTAAAAGGGTTGAAATGGTAAATTTTGTTACATATATCACAATTTTAGAAAACTATATTAGAATAAAAAGATACCACTGTGAATGTGTCAACTACTTCTCAACTACCCCCAACCCAAAGATTTTATTTCTGTTAAAAGAGCATAGTTGAATTATCAGAGGGGGAAATGCATTTGAATTGGAAGTACTTAAAGATGAAAAGTAGCAGCCGCTGTCCCTGAGATACATGGCAGTTATTAGGGCAAAGTGGAGATTGGGTTAACAACCAATGATATAATAGGATATTTGTAAAGTTTTTTAAAGTTAATTTTGTACATGGGGAACATGCATGTCATGGCACTCTTGTGGAGGTCAGAGGGCAACTTGTAGAAGTCGGTTCTGCTGTGAATTAAACTCAGGTCATCAAGTCTGGTGGCAAGTGCTGAGCCATCTTACCATCTTTTTATTTATTTATTTTTAAATAATGGAACCAAATGGAGTTGACCCAACCAACAATTGTTCAAAAGTTGGTTTGTGTAGAATGGGGGTTGTTTTTAGCTCATTTATAAAACAGGGTGTTTATGGGCTTCCCCCTAGGCTTACAAAATGCAGCATTGAATAAGGGAATGTGTGTGCGAGATCCCTAATGTTACTTCTCACAGTGCCATCTATTGTACCCTGGGCTTCCATACATTTTCTTATATAGAAATAATGACTGGGATTATTTGGCTCATTTTCCAGTAGTAACAGTAGGTTCATTTGGTCAGTTTGACCAATATATGCCAACAATATGAACCCAAACACATGGTGCTTCCTTGTGCCATATAATTTATTGTGATTGACAAATTAAAGTTGAATGTAAGGCAGGAGGGGAAACTTTGGCGTGAAAATATCCCAGCTCATTCTAATGGGTGGTCATATTGCCGTCATTCCAGTTCACCCTTCATGAAGTGACATTGGAAACCACACTCGACACCATGCTGGAGGCACGGCTCAGTCCCGTACTGGTCGGTAGCATTAATGTGGAACTGAGAGGATCATGGTAGGAAATGAGAAATGTGAATGAGAAGGAGCTGAGGGTTGAGTGATGTGGGCATACAGATCTGAATTGCTTATTGTTAGGTGGGGGAAAGGTCTTCATTTTTCCCATTCCATATTCCTAATGATGCTCTTATTCAAAGAGCCAAGTTTCAAATGTCGGTGCTTGTCTTTAAGACGACACATGCCCTTGTAATAATAACTGTGATCAAAAAGACTGATGAAGACACATAAAATCATTAAAACCGCTGTGCATTCTACATTTTTACAGCTGAGGGCTGCTGTGAACTATTAAATAAACCGTCCACTCTGTACAGTATATTTTACAAACATTTATTGAGTGCGCTAAGTCTTGGAAGTGTGGTAGTGAGCAGGAACCCTGGTTAACAGTAAGCAAACCACGGGAATGAGTTTCTGCTCTATTGTAATGGAGTTACTAATACAGAGAGGAGACTACCATGAGACCTGGAGGGCCAGCGGAGGCAAGGAAAAGTTCTAAGACTTCGCAGGAGGATGTGCAAAGGCTCTGGTGTTGCTGCAGTTGACTGGGGTGAGTAGGGAAGGCATCAACCAATAGAAAGACTTCCTTGTTCCTTGGCAAATACATGGGAAGATCTGTTCTCAGCTGATCCAGTTGACCTGAGGAACAGTTTTTACTAACAAGTGAGATGACGAGAGGTGACAAGAAACAGGCAGTCAGGTAAACAATGGCGATGGGCAGTAGCGGTCGGGGAGGGGAACCTACGCATCTGTCCCAGCGTGTCTTCTGAGCCTGCTTGCATTTCAGTCAATAGACTCCTCACATTTGAACAGGGAAGATGGCGAGACTCTTGAAGTAGAACTTGAGTGGTCCAGGTCTCCGTTTTCTTGAAATGAGCCCAAGATTTGTTCTAAGTTCCCAAGTGCCTCAAGCCGCTGCTTCAGCTGCCTCTGCATTTCTTCTTGTTCACAAGCTCTACTCTTTATTACTTTGAAAGGAAATAAAGTGGCTTTAGTTTTATGCACTAATTGGTTAGGAATAATGTACTGCCTCTAGTCTGAGTCAGTTCAAATATACACTCCATGGTAGTTAGTTGTGCCTCAAAGGAGAAGACAGTGATATGAGCAGAAACGGCTCCTTCCAGGTCTTTGCGTCCTTTTGTGACTCAGGATGGGACCCCAGCATGTATCACGTGAGTGTGCATTCCTTTATAGTAGAACACGGTTACACGTATCATTCGTCAGAGACTGGAGGATGTAGCTGGACTGCCAAGGAAACTCATTCGTGAGCACATCTCTGGCTCTAAGGACATTGTGACGTCACAGCTGTGGGGGTCATTTAGGGAGGAAAAAGCTTTCCTATGGAAACCTCCCAGGGTCACTTTTGATAGCTCTAAAAGCTTCACAGCTGAAGCTTCAAATTCATAGTCGCCAGAGGGACCACGCACCGCAGTTAGCTTGAAATACCGGGTGAGGTCAGCCAGGCCAGAAGGGCCTGTGTCAGGTGTTAGCCTTTCCCACAGGTTCTCATGCAGTCCTGGCTAGGATCTCGAGGAACCCACATCATATGCTGTATGACATGTTTCAGACATAGAACTTTCATACCAATTGACAAGGCCAGTATCATAGGAAACACAGCTTTTTGATGACTTTTTTGAACTATTCGTATTAACAGACATGCTCAAGCAACTTTTAAAGTAATTTTTCTGACTAAAAATGAATATTTCAGAATTCGAATAGGAATGAGTAACAGAAAATCTAATGAGAGAGGCTGTGCATACTGAAGTGACATAGGCAGGAAAACCTGCTGTCTTACCATTACGTACTAATAGGCGCACCTGTTGAAAAGAGCAGTCTAGGGCAGTGTGAAATGCAGTAATGAGAGCTATCCCTACCAGTCCTGTGGGAATCCGGCCCTCACCCAGTCCATAGGTGCAGCACATAGAGTACTGAAGGGGGGCATAATAAATGAATGCTTCTTAACATTTTTCAGACACGGTTTCACTGTGTAGCCTAGGCTGGCAATCCTGCCTCACCCTTTTAACTGATGGAATTACAGGTGTGGACCACAACACCAAGCTAACCACATCACTTTTTTTTTTTTTATATAAACACAAAAACAAAACACTTTTCTTGGCTATTCTTGCTTTTTTTCCCCCCGATGAATTTTAGGATTCCAGTACTCGTTGCTTCAGGAGATGAACTCTGAAGGTAAAGCCTTAGGAAAAGAAATGACATTTCTTCAAGTGCGAGGGAGGCACACTGCAGGGAGGGTCACTGTTGCCTCCATCTTACTCCTGGGGTCAGAGGCTGCAGGAAGTCTCTGTGCCTGTCTATACATGGCTTAAAATACTCTTTCAAAAACATGTGTTCCTGTCTTTACAGTCAGTGTTTCTGATTACAGAAGCATGTGCGTGTCTCCCTAGAAAGCAGAACTGTATATAATCCACCCACTTACAAATCACTGCTCTTTCTAGGGTGTGGTCTTTCTATCATCTATGTCTGTGTGTGTGTGCGTGTGCGCGTTCGTGTAACTATGGGTTTTTGCATGTATTTCTTCTCTGTGTGTCATGCTGTTTTTGTAATGGGCTCTTTTCATTAGATACAAACTGTCTTTTAGAAGTATGTTTATTGTTTTGTCACCTGTCGTTTTGATCTGAATCATAAATGTCTCTAAACCGCATCATTTTATGAATCACCTACCTTTTTGGAATTTTATTAATGTGTCTTCAAACACTCCACAGTCAAATAGTAAAGTTTCAATGTCTTCATAGTCTAGAGGGAGAAACAACGTCCTGTGTTAGTTGTAATGTGGATAAATCACACGCGGAGAAAGCAGAACATAACCCCATATGGAAGAGTAAGCAGCCGCGGAGTGCAGCACAGTGCAGAGCCACCAGGGAACCCATGAGAAGCATCAGCTCAGCATCTCTGTGCGGCTGAAGCTTCTGGGGAAGAATGCCCATGTTTCGGGGAGCCCCCAGGTGATTATGAGGCACCCACAAATTTGAGAGTTCTTGGCCTTCAGAATGTAGATATTATGTAACAGCTGAGCTCTTGGAAATGCTTAGCTGTAGTTGGTCTTTTGGTTTTACCATATAGAAAATGGTTTTTAAATAAGTCCAGATTATACATTGTCACTTACAGTACGAAATATCCAGATTCCCCTAACAAGGAACTAACTGTAAAGCTTTTAGCTCATTCTGTAGGTTATAAGAGGTCGCCGTAACTATATACCTGCACACTGCAAGTGGACCTTTTGATTCCCTAGGAACTCATTAAGAAAGAAACTTCTGTTACAGAGTTGATCTAAAGAACTATACTCCATGATCTGCCACGATAGCTCAGCAGGTGGGGGTACTTGCTACCACCCGATGACTTAAGTTCAGCCTCCAGGACCCACATGGTGGAAGTGGAACCGGCTCTGACAGCTTGTCCTCTAACCTCCATGTGTGTACTGTGCCGGGTGCACAATACGATTTTTAAGAAAAGGCTTATTTGTGTGTGGGTGGGCGTCCATGCACATGCGCACACATACATGGATGTAGGTATCCTCGGGGTCCATAAGAGAGTCGGATCCCCAGGAGCTTGAGGTACAGAACCCAGGTCCTCTGCAAGAAT